TGGATTTGAATTCCATTCTTAAGTCCTCTAACCTTACTTTACTTCGGTGTTCCTGTACCAAAAAAACAGCATTTTGTCATTAGACCTATCTCAAAGGAATGTTCCTGGAACCTCATAAAATGATGTGTGTCAAAACACCAAGAGCTTAACAGGGAAATTAGAAGTCGCCTGTGGATTAGTCAAGGCCCGTGGGGACATTGCCTGCCTTAGTGATGAAGAGGTTTTATTTTTGAGATCGGTTGTTCACAGTTTTGGTTTTATCTTTGGTTGTCTAACTTTTAGTTAGACCTTTCGTGTGTGTGTGTGTGTGTGAAGAACAACTCAATAAGCCATGATGCCCTCAAAGGAAAAGGCAGCTCTAATGAACTCCCACTCCACCCCCTCCCTCAGATAAAGCAATATTTTAATTTTTATTTATTTATTTTTCCCCTCAGTTGAAAGGCAGAAAGACACACACACACACAAAGGTGTAAGAGATTTTTCACCTGCTGGTTTGTTCCTCAAATACCTGCAATGGCTAGAACCAGGCCAGGCCAAAGCCACAAAACTGGAATTCAATCCACGTCTCTCACGTGGTGGCAGGGATCCAGGTACCGAGCCACCACCTGCTGACTGACATTAGCAGGAAATTGGGTACGGAGTGGAGTTGCCAGGCCTTGAACCAGGCACTTCAGTACAAGATGTGGGTATCTCCAACAGTGTCGACTGCTGGACCAAAGGTCTGTCCCAAAAGCTAACTGTTAATTTTGGGATCATTCCCTTCCTTTTCTGTTTATAGTTTGAGCTTAATCTTTGCCGCCCTCTGCAATATACCTAAATTACCTCTTTAAAATGTTTTATATGTATAAAATACTGCAAATATTGTTTTTGCAATTTGCTTTGTACATTCAGTATTAGATATCATCCACATGGCTGTATGTAACTACAATTCATCCATTCTCACTTTTTTTCAATATTCTAATAGATGAAATGTGCTACAACATATTCATTTAATCACAATACTATTAACGGAAATGTCCATTGCTTGCAGGTTTTGGCTATTGCAGGGCTACTATGAACAATGTTACATAAGTCTTCTGTTACACATAGGAAATGTTTCCCTGGAAGATGTACCCAGATGATTGCATATGCACATTTTCAGTTATATCAAATATTGCTCATTATTTTCTGATGCACTTACAAGATTTCATGTACCCACAAGCAGTGTGTCCACGTTGTTCCTTATCCTCACCAGAATCTGATCCTTATCTTTTCTAAGAAATCTTTCCTTGTAACAAGTTCATTAAATAGTCCCCTGCTTGTCCTCTAGAAGTTTTATGGCTTTGCCTTTCATATCCAATGTTTAACTCACCTGTAATGAATTGCTATGCAGTGGGACATGGGAGTTTGATCTGATTCAGTCTGGTACCATTTTTTTAAAAGGTTTATTTATTTGTTTTTATTTGAAGGCTGAGAAAGAGAGATATTTTCCCTTTACGGATTCACTTCCAAAATGCCCACAAGAGATCAAAAGCAGGAGCCTGAAGCTTGCTCCAGATCTCCCACGTGAATGACAGGGGTCTAACCTCTGCACGCACATTAGCAGGGGCTGGATAGAAATCACAACAGCTAGAACTCAATCTGGCTTTCCAATATGGGGCGTGAGCATCCCAGACAGACATCTACTCCAGTCTGACATCATTCTGTCCCCAACAACCAGCAGGGCACGAAGGTTCTATAACATAGCTGGGTCTGCTTCGGGTTTGTTGTTTAATTTTTCCACCACAGAGGTTTAGAGCCGGAGAGCAGTGCTTCAGCATTTCACGCAGAAGTTAAGCACTAGGGCCTAGCACAATGGCTGACTGGCTAATTCTGCCCCCTTCAAGTGCCAGCATCCCATATTGACACAGCAGCTCCACTTCCCATCCAGCTCCGTAGCCTGGGAAAGCAGTTGAGGATGAACCAAAGCCTTCGGACCTTATCCTACATGAGAGACTTGGAAGAAGCTTCTGGCTTCGGTTGGCTCAGCTCCAGCTGTTGCACATATTTGGAGAGAGTGAACCCAAGAAATGGAAGATCTTTCCCTGTTTTTTTCCATCTCTGTTAAATCTGCCTTTCAAATAAAAATAAATCTTGAAAAAATAAACTAAGGGCTGGTGATGAGGGCGTTTAGCACGGCAGAGAGGATATCACTGAGACACCTGTATCCCAGGTACAAAATGCCTGGGCACAACACGTGGCTCTGCTCTGTATTCCATCTCGTCTGCTGATGTGCACACTGCGTGGTAGCAGTGTCAGCTTAAGTACCTGGACCCTTGCCACTCAAATAGGAACCCCAGCTTCGGGTTCCTACCTGGTGCCTGCCTGGTTGTTACAGACCTTTGGGGAACAAATCAATAGATGGAAATGAAGATGGAAGATCTTCATTTGGCTGTGTGCCTAGATAGGTAGATCAATACATAGATAGGTTTTTAATTTACTTATTTTTTTTTAATTGGAAAGACAGATTTACAGAGAGAAAGAGAGAGAGAGAGAGAGAGGAAGATCCGTCCACTGATTCATCCCCAAGTGGCCACAATGGCCAGAGCTGAGCTGATCTGAAGCCAGGAGCCAGGAGCTTCTTTCAGGTCTCACATATGCGTGCAAGGCCATCCTCGACTGCTTTCCCAGGCCACAAGCAGGGAGCTGTATGGGAAATAGGGCAACTGGGACATTTTGGATCCTGGCATGTAAGGCAAGGATTTTAGCCACTGGACTACTGCACCAGGCCCATAGACAATTTTTTAAGGCTAAGGAATTTGAGGTCCCCAGATTTCAGCTGGGATGAAAGCTCCACCTTGTACATTGCCTTGCCCTTAGGAAGTAAATGGCTTTGACTCGAGTGACCTCCCAGTCCAGGTCTTCCCTCACCAAGTCTCATTGCTGATGTCATTCGTACCATCCAAGTCTGATTTCCTGAAATGGTCTTAGTGGATTTGTAGTGGAGATATTGACCAACAAGGACATGGTTTTCATAGTATGATAAAACACACAGAATACACACCACCCACACAGGGAAACTGGATTGCGTTTCAGCCCAGTCCCAGCACTGTGGGCATTTCAGAGTGAGCCAATCAACAGATGCAAGCTCTGCCTGTATCGCTTCCTCTCAAACAAACAATAGAAATACATGAAGCATTTCACAAAGTGAACACAGTCACATAACCAGGACCTAAACCAAGAAAGAGAACAATGCCAGCACCCCGAAAGTTCCCTTTTCCCAATTCTCAAACATTTCCCCAACCTTCACCAAAGGTAATCAATGTCCTGACTTCAAATACCAGATTAGAGGTTGGGTTTTTTTTTGAAATTTACATAAATGGAATGACAGGGCATTGAATATTAGAGCCTCACCTTCTTTGCTTAATGTTCCATTTGTGAGATTCCCATGTTTTTCTATGAAGTTGTAGCTGAGTCATTCTAATCACTGTCTAATTACTATTCTTGTGTGACTGTGTTACAGCTTATTCACCCTATTCTACTGTTCATCGACATTTGGGAAATTCCAGTTTTAATGATTAGTGCTACCATGAACAGGACTTTTGGTGCATATATGCCAATGATTAAAAAAAAAAAAAAGAAAGAAAGAAAGAAAGCAAAGGCCCGGTGCAGTGGCCTAGCTGCTAAAGTCCTCGTCTTGAATGCACCAGGATCCCATATAGGTGCCAGTTCTAATCCCGGCATCCCTGCTCTCATCCAGTTCCCAGCTTGTGGGAAAGAAGTCAAGGATAACCCAAAGCGTTGGGAACATGCACCCACATGGGAGACCCAGAAGATGCTCCGGGCTCCTGGCTTTGGATCATCTCAGCTCTGGCCGTTGCAGTCACTTGGGGAGTGAATCATCAGACGGAAGATCTTCCTCTCTGTCTCTCCTCCACTCTGTATATCTGACTTTGCAATAAAAATAAATAAATTTTTTTTAAAAAGCGCGAAATGAGACCACAAAAGATGCACAAGGCTATTGCTAACTTATGCTATAAAGTGAATTTCAGGTCTTATTTTAGGTCACGTGTGATGTGGCCACTCGTAATTTTTATAAGCTATTCACGCACTTGAAGAGCCTACCGAGACTCCTTAGGACAACGTGCATGGTGCCCTTATGCCCAATTTACAGGCATAACTGTTTCAATTAATTGAAGGGATGGATCGCCTTTGTGTATTTGATTTTATGGCACATATTTCACATCTGCATTATTTATCTGTTGTTGCATGCATTCTGGATCACAAATACCGCTCCCAATGAGGGCACGGTGCCCACGGGAAAATACAGCTAGCTTTATGCCAGCCACTTTGTGATGATAATTTCTAGAATGAATTATAGCTTACATATAATTTGCAGCATCAAATTTATTGGTGATGGGATGAGAAGGTGTGGTTTATGAGTTATAATTTGAGGGAATGTTGTCAATAGCAATAGAATTTTTGACAATTTTCTATGGGGAAACCAGGATTTTATGATAACGAAAAAGAGAGGATTGGAAGTAAAGCACTTAAGAATTTGCACATTTATTAACTAATGCCATATACAGTGATGTCATCCAACCAGAAGAGAAACCTGAATTAGTTATTTCACAGCAAGATGTCTGTCTCCTAGGGGTAACTTCTTTTTCACAGGATGACTGGAGAATTTTGCTTACTTAAACGATTTGCAAGGTTACTTTAGAAAACAAATTATAATGATTCAGATGTGGATCTGTTTTAAAGTAGCGATGACACTCCAGTGATTGAGAATGTTGCAAAATCTAAAACATGAGTTTCATGGAAAATGAAACAGTATGAAAATAAGGATATCCTCATTTGTTCAAAGGAATTAGTCAAATTTGACTTAGCTTTGCATACTTCCAGAGGTTTGTGTCTGCTTTTGTGTCTTTCATTGTAACCACAATGGAAACTTCTGTCACCCTTCTATGTTGCCAAATCATTGAGCAAACATTGTGAGCTATGGGAGTAACTGAGGTTTGTGTAGTCAACCACAAACTTACCAGGCAGCATCTCCCAAGGCAGGTGGCTGTGGATGAGCTATGTTCTCTCTCTGTAAAGCAACCAGGTTCCAAAGAGTGATAAGCTTAATCTTGTAACATGAGCAACAGGTATTCATCTCAACATTTTATTCAAATACATTCTGATTAGCTAATGATCCTTGACTTATATTATCACTGCTCACCATATTCCTCTAACTGAAAACAAGTCGATAACTTACTTGGCAGTATTAATAAAGTGATAATGTAGGGTCAGCTTCCTCTTTGATGTCTGAGCTGCCCAATCATAGCAGCATTCAAGAAGGACCTGGGAATGCCAGGAGCCCCTTCTGACCTATGCTGTCCAATCCCTGAAGAAAGGGGACAATAGCTAGGACTGGGGAGGGTCACATGGCTAGAGAAAAAACAAAAATCAAAGGTGTGCATTGCCACTTCAAATCAAAGCAAAGGCACACTGAACCTGCTGACATCACAAAGTAGTCACCCGTGTGATAAAGGAGAGAAGGATCGGGCCCAAAGTTGCGAGCACAGAGTCCAAAACTTCACTCCGCATGATCTTAAGCAAACCTAGTCTCCTCTCTGGGCTGACATAGGCCTGAACAACCCTCTCCAGCCCCAGTCTCCTGCCAATTGCAGGTCTGCTTAGGATAAAGCAACCTGTTTCCATGTTTCCAGGAGACATCTGCCTGCATCGGGGCTCACCGCTCCCTCAGTTTTTCTAAGAGTGAAGACATCCCTCTTCTAGGCAAAGAATGCAGAGAAGGCATCAGTCGTGGGGACATGCACTCCAGGATGCCCATGCTCTAACCCACAGACAGAGCAGAGGCGCTCACCAATAGGAAACCAAGAATTCACTTGCACGGTGCCGAGTAGAACAGAAAACCAGAGAGGAGAAGGTGGTGCAAGCAGCGGAGACAACTCCATCAAAGTCGGAATGAAGCAGGGTGTGGATTTCACCTGTTGCTCCATTTAGTATGTACAGGGCTTGTTCAGGCTGGAGACACAAGGCAGGTTATCTCAATGTAGGAGTGCAGCACGAATGGAACCAAGGAAGGGAAGGATAAGCACGGCTTCTGGAAAGAACTGAGTATACTCACAGGGAAAGAAAGGTAAACACCAGACCCAAAGACTGGCTGGAAGGCTAACCACGAATCTAATCACAAGGACATTGAAAAGTAACCTGCAGGGTTGGCATCATGGCTCAACAGGCTAATCCTCCACCCTGTGGCACCAGCATTCCATATGGACACCAACTCATGTCTTGGCTGTTCCACTTCTAATCCCCTTCTTCGCTTATGGCCTGGAAAAGCAGCAAAGGATAGCCCAAGTCTTTGGGCCCCTGAACCCAAGTGGGAGACTGTGGGGATCCCCTCCACAGATTCGATCCTCTATTGCCCCATTGTTGGAGGGGGTGAGCCGACTGCCCGCCATCCAGCTTTCTGGCATGCAAGAGACAAACAGATGTGGCAGGGGTTTTGTCCGAGCAGTTCTGATTTATTTGGGAAACACACACTCTTATGTAGGAAAAGCGAGCAGCCTCAGGCTGGGTATTCCAGGAAAGGAGCAGTACTAAGGACACATTGTAACTAGGGTCAGGAGTGCATGCATTCTATACATCATCAGCATTACTGCGGAAGCCACCTCCCATAGGCCAGGGGCAGGTGAGCATGCAGCGTTCACGAGCACAGAAATGGCCCCTGGCCAAACAGTCCTCTTTAAAACAACTTGATCCCCTCCCCGGCTCATGCTCAGGGCTCTTCCCTTGGTCTGGTTGCCATCTTGTTCACCTCATGTGACCCAGTGACCTCTTTGTCCTAGAGCCCCAAACGAGACCAGGAAGAGTCTCCCAACTCTTGGCTTCAGATCAGATCAGCTGATCTGATCAGATTTGGGAGTGAACCAGCAGATAGAAGACCATCTCTTTCTAGCTCTCCTTCCCTCTGTAAATCTACCTTTTAAAAAATGTATGTTTTTATTTTATTCTATTTATTTTGGAAAAATCAGATTTACAGCAAGAAGGAGAGACAGAAAGATCTTACATCCATTAGTTCACTCCCCAAGTGTACACAACAGCCAGAGCTGAGCTGATCTGAAGCCAGCAGCTTCTTTTGGGTCTCCCATGTGGGTACAGCATCCCAAGGCTTTGGGCTGTCCTCAGCTGCTTTCCCAGGCCACAGGCAGAGAGCTGGATGGGGAATGGAGAAATCAGGACACAAACCAGTGCCCATATGGGATCCCAGTGCATGTAAGGATTTAGCCACTGCTCCATCCCACCAGGCTCTAAATCTGACCTTTAAATAAAAATAAATAAATCTTTAAAAAAGAAAAAAAAAAGGACCTGCAGAGATCATATTTAGCATGGGAAGCAGAGACACATGGGGGATTTCTGGGTAGGGGGCAGTGTTTAGTAAAGACCTGGCTAGTGGCACAGCAGCTCAGGTATCCCTTTGTTAACTGGAGTTACCTGTGCATGGGAAGGGAGGCAATAGACTGTAACAGGTTGAGAATGGAAGAATGGAAATATGGGGAGGAGAGGCCTCTTCTCAGACACAGGTGACTCCAGAAGTGAGGCTGGGGAGCAGGAGAGTTGGCAGGCTGACGCTCAACAGGAAGATGTCTTTTGCTAAAACCAGGAAATTGCCTTTTTTAGTGCAAGGCTCTGGAGTGCATCAGCTGTACCTTGTCAGGGACTATACTCCACTCACCATCCCGCCTCTCCCCTCCTTTGAGCCCCTCTTCCTTCCCAGCTGTGCAAGAAAATGCTTCAACCTCACCATGTGAGGGAAAATTCCACATCTGCTTCCAGCTACACCTCTCCCTCTGTGTCCTTTCCAGACATGCTTTCCCCAAGAATTTACCATACTGTGTATTATTATTTTTTCATTGTTCAATCTCTACCTTCAGAAGTCCCATACCTGTACCAGTTTGAGTCCCAGCTGCTCTGCTTCCAATCCAGCTCCCTGCTAATGCACCTGGGAGAGCAGCAACAGAGACCCAGATGCAGTCCCTCACTCCTGGCATCCGCCTGGCCCAGCTCTGGCCTCGTGATCAATTGGGAATGAAACAGCAGGTGGAAGGGCTTTGTCTCTCCCCTCCCCCCCCCCCCGCCTGCAACTCTGCCTTTCAAATAAAGACATGTTTTTAAAAATCAAAAGAAAAATCACTTCCTTCAGACTTTCATCCCCTCCACCCCACCAACCACTCCTCTTCTGCAATTCAAGGATTGCATTTGAGATCTTACCCGGCTGTAGTGTCCTGGTAAGTATCGGCTCCTTCCACGAAACAGGGTCCCTGTCCTGCACAGTTGGCTCCTGACCCGCTCCCACCTGTCCATCTCGCCTTTCCCCATCCATCCTTCCAAGTTTCTTTGCAGCTGCTCATCTTCTGCGAATGAGTGCCCATGTCTGCACTCACTCCCTCATCCCTAATGGGACATGCCCAGAGTAGTTGTCCTGGTCAAACCATTTTGTACTGCCATCTGAGGACCTGAGTCTCACTGCCCCTGCCCCTTGCAATGGAGTTCAGATCGCTTTCCCTCATCACCACACAAAAATTTTAGGTATACATTCAGTGAGACAGGGTCTCTTCAAAGAAAAAGGGCAACTTTCCCTCTGGTACCACTCCTGTTGAGTCCCCTCATTGTACCCACTTCGCTGTTCTCTGCTTAGGAGATAAAAGCACCTCCCATCTTTTAATGAGCCACTACCCTTTTTGTTCTCTGAGAGGTGGCCTTGCCAGATGATTCATGGCTCTGACAATAAATCTCCTGCGTGTGTTCCGGGTGTGTAGTAAGGTTTTGTGGCTCAAACTACCAACAATTCCCTGCTGGACTCAGATTTAGCCCTCCTCTGTGCACTTTGAGGGTCTGTAGCCATTCTTGGTCCTCTGGCACCTGATGGCATGCTGTTGAGGCCTAAGTCAACATTTCGGGAGAGCTCTCTACAGTGTTAGAAGCATCACCACTGGCCTCTTAGCTGCCTCCATCTAAAAGGGTGGATGTGCTGGAAGGTAAAAGTTTACTTTGGTGCCTCCCTATCTCACACACACACACACACACACACACACACACACACACACACCATTCCCCTTTCTAATTTGGCATTGTTGAAATGACAAAAGTGACCATCCAATACTCAAATCAGAATGTTCACACATCTCCCTCTCTCGGCTCACTTCCCATCAGTTATAGGCCTATCAATTAGAACTTTCTCAGGCCATTAGAAAACTTCATAATGTTCTTCCTATCTGGAAGGCCATTGATAAGCTTAATAATTTGTTTAAAAAAAAAAAGGAAATAGTTCCAGGATGACCTCATCTGTGTGTTAGAAAAAAAGTATGTGAATATTCAAGTGAATTGATATCCACTGGTAATAAAACTATTTCAGGAGTATGTGGAAACTTCATGCTGAGTATGTTCTTGCAAGTTTGCTTTTGAAGCATTTGAATTGTGTTTGCTATAAAAATGTCTATTTAATATCAGCAAATGATAAGTTACCTCCAAGAAGCCCCAAGAACAGCATCTGTTGTTAAGTGATAAGGCATCGATTTTAATGCCCAAAGCACCGACGAAGGAGCAGTGAGGCAGTCTGCCAGGGCTGGCCAGCAGAGGCTAATAAAGGAAGTCTCCTGTTGCTCCCTCCAGAGCCTGTTCAAGGCTGAGCCGGGCGTTCAGAGCCCTTTCCACGCACACACACTTGGTTTCCCCAGAGCATACGGATGAAAGCTGCATCATCCTTCCCAGCCAACTAGGGTTGATGGCAATAAAATTCACAGAAGCAAACCCACAATATAGGCTGTTAAATTGGCTTTGCTATAACTGAAGGCTCCTAAGGGTGCTAGGGGTTGAATTACGCTCCTCCAGAATACTGCTCCAGCCCTGGATTCCTGTGAATGTGATCTTATTTGAATAGAGGGTCTTTGCAGCTGTAACCAAGTTGACATGAAGAGTGGGGTAAGGGGTGTCCCAATACAGTGACTGGTGTTGTAAGATAAGAAACACTTAGAACCAGAGACACACCAGGAAAACAGCCCATGCAGGCCATGCGAAGATGAAAGCAAAGGAGCAGGCACTTACCCTAGTGGCTGAGATAGAGCCATCCCTCAACGAGACACTCAGATCCAAGACTCGGCTCTAGTTCCTGGCTCCAGCTTCCTGCTAACACAGACTCTGTGTGGAAGGCAGCAGTGGTGGCGCAAGTAGCATGGCTCCTGATAGCTACAGCGAGATGTCAACTGACTTTCTGGCTCCAGCCCAGACCCAGCCACTGCAGGCTCTGGCCCAGACCCAGCCACTGCAGGCTCCGGCCCAGACCCAGCCTCTGCAGGCTCCAGCCCAGACCCAGCCACTGCAGGAACGTGGGGAGTGAATCAGCAGATGAAAATGCTCATTTTCTCTGCCTCTCAGATGAATAAATTTAAAATTTTCTTTTTTAAAAGGTAGAAGTCTATAAGGCAGGGAAAATGGAGGCTTGCCAAAAGCTCCCAGAAGCTGGAAGAGAAACATGGGATGGATTCTTGTGGGAAACATCAGAAGATCTGATTTCATACTTTTGACTTCCAAAATTGTGGGACAAGCAACTGAAGTTCTTGGAAGCCACCCAGTCTGCGTTACCTTGTTAGCACGGCCCTAAGAGACTAAGGACAATGAGGGGTTCCTAGACAGAAATAGGCACCAAAGGGGCCTATTACTTAACAGTAACACTCAGAAGTATGTCTGGACGCTTTCCAAAGCTGATAGCACAGTGTGTCAGGTGCAAGGAGGACTAAGCTTCCTTTACCTTTTAACCTTTGCCTCAACTCAGTGGGATCAGTAGGATGACAGGCATCAGGTGTGGACCTGGGGAGAGCACAATAGGGAAGCTGATCCATCCATCAGGCTGCGCAGCTGGACTTGAAGCCCAGGTGTGGCAGCTCCACAGGCCTCGCCGCATTGCCTGGTGGGGAACCACAGGTCAGGGCTAGAAGGAGTAGGAGGAGCCCCCCAAAGGCACCCACTGGCCTGCAACTGGAATAAGAACTCCTCCTTGTTTCTCAGGCAAGATGCTAGAGTCTTAGACTTGCCTCCAGTCCCAACACAGTCAGAAAGGAGACTGGAAACACTACCCTGCCCACAGCGGCTTCCTTCAGCCAGCCTAGGAGCAGAGCCTGAGGGGTCTGGGGCTCCTCTGCCAGCTGCAGCTGAGCCGGATCCCTCTGGATGATGCGAGGCTCAACCTGGCTTACCTACCTGCAGCCTGTTATCAGGAACTTTCCTGAAAGTGCAGCAAGAGCGAATGTTTATAAAGTGCTCTGAGAGCCACTGATAAAAGACCTCAAATGGCGTTAAGAGCGCACATTCTGCAGGCCCCTCCATCTTGAACAAGCTTGATGGATAGGCGTCCCTCTGCCATGGCAGGCAGACTCTGCTGGAAAGGAATTTAGCTCATTAATTATGATCCAGCCTGCAGTTTACTGTGAAGGATGCTCGCTTATTACTGTAATTAGGACCCCAAGCCAGGCCTTCACTATCTCAATGTAAATATGTTGGAGGAGGGGATTGTCTCCTGGAACCCACTGTGCCTAGAGTGGCTGAATGCAAACCCATTATCTTGCACAGACAGGCAGCTCAGGCGTTAATAAAATAAGCAAGCGCTGAGTTCAACAGTGCTGTTCCTCAAATGACTCCCATGGAAATGCAGCCATGATGAAGGCATTGCTTCATAATGCCTCCCTGTTTTCATCCGTAAGCACAACTCTGGACCCGGGACACGTCCATACATCATTTCCCCTCAACATCTAACAGACAGTTCAAAGCAAAATCAAGCTCCTTTATCCATCGGTCACCCAGAGGCTACTTCGGTTGCCCAGAGAAGCTTCAGTACCTTCAAAGCAATCCTTCTCGAGCCTGCGCGCACCTTAACAGCCTTTAGGTAGCATTAAAAAGCATCTGTGCAAGTCCCGGCCTCAGGAGTAACGATTAGTCTGAGGATCAGGCAGCATCAGTGTTTGTGTACCCGTGTGTGTGTTGACACACTTTCTTTTAATCACAACACTTTATTCCTTTTAATTCGTTATGCCTAAAGAAAAATGGAACTAAAACTATATAAAATCGTTTTTATAATTTCTTGAGTAATTTTAACTTCTTGCAGGCAAGAGAACTCAGTTTTATCGCAGTTGCCACCCACCCAGCAGTCTTTTAAAAGATAATCTCAGATAAAACTACAGGCTTGATTCTTCTAGATTTTTCTCAACACTTTCCTCAGGTGTCACAGCCCAGGACTGGCATTCATTCATTCAAAGATGACTGCTCAGCATCATGGTTTGTGCCTTTAGATTGCTTCGTGAACAGTCTTATCGGTTATTATAGATTTTGGAGGGCTCTCTTCCTGGTTAGATTAAAGGGAATATAAATAGACATAATAATACAGGGAGTGGCAGTCTGGAGAGTTCACAGAACTTAAATTTAACAAAGGAGTCATTTTAAATGTATTAAGCACACTGGAAAGATAAATAGAGTAGAGGGAGCAATCCATTTGTGGAGAGTAGAAAATATGTAAAAAGTATTTTTTCAGTACCTTAAAAAGGATAAGTGATCCCTAAGGATCCATATCATTCATTTACTCACCAAACAAATATTCAGTAAGCACCTATTCTGTTCCAAACTCTAGATGTCGAGGATGGACCAGGAACTCAACAAGCTGTAGTGTTGTTTCTGCAGAGCTTCCATCCTGAGCACGTTAGAGTGCACGCATGCTCCCTTAAGATGCACCAGTGTTGAACAGCAGCTGTGTATTTTTATAAACATGAAATAGTGGAGCCAGTGTTGTGGGAAGGAGGTCAAATGGCCACTTGCAGTGCTGGCATGCCAATAAAGGGCACGAGTTTGAGTCCCAGCTGTTCTATTTCTAATCCAGTTCACTGCAAATGTACCTAGGAAGACAGTGGAAACATGGTCCAAGTACTTGGGTGCCTGCCTTTGGTATAGGAGACGCAAGGGGTGCTCCATGCTCGTGGTTTCAGTGTGGTCCACCTATTGTGGGATTTGGAAATTAACCAAGGATGGAAATTTTTCCTCACTCTCTGTCACTCTGCCTTTCAACTAAATAAAATAAAATTTTAAAAATAAGAGTTGGGCCCGGCACAATAGCGTAATGTCTTCACCTTGGAGGTTAAGGTCCTCCCCTTGAACGCTCTAGGATTCCATATGGGCGCTGGTTCTAATCCCAGCAGCTCCACTTTCCATCCAGCTCCCTGCTTGTGGCACAGCACCAGCCGTTGCGGTTACTTGGGGAGTGAATCATTGGACAGAAGATCTTCCTCTCTGTCTCTCCTCTCTGTACATCTGCCTTTCCAATAAAATAAATAAATTTTTAAAATAAATAAAATAAGAGTCTTTAGAACAAAAAAGACATGAGAAATACTTTACAAACTGCAGATGTTGAGCAATGGTGCATTTCACCAAGATAGAAAAGACAGGCCCGGCACAAACGCCCTATCAGCTAAGGTCCTCACCTTGAACGCACTGGGATCCCATATGGATGTAGGTTCTAATCCCATCAGCTCCACCAACCATCCAGCTCCCTCCTTGTGGCCAGGGAGGGCAGTCAAAGACAGCCCAAAGCCTTGGGATCCTGCACACACATGGAAGACCTGGAAGAACTCCTGGCTCCTGGGTTTGGATCGGCACATCTCTGACCACTGCAGTCAGTTGCCAAGTGAATCATCAGACAGATGATCTTCCTGTCTCTCCTCCTCCTCTCTATATACAACTGACTTAGCAATAACCATTGCAGACATTTGGGGAGTGCATCAGCAAATGAAAGATCATTCTCTCTGTGTCTCACTTTTCAAATAAATAAATAAATCTTTGAAAAAATTTAAAAGGACTAAACTGGTGCTTTAGAGGCCCATTGCCTAGCAACAGGGAGCTCACACCTGCTCTACTCCAACAGGAAAATCTCGGGTTTTTCTAATTGAAATTTCAGGCTTCCTGCCACACTCTTGAAATACTACCATTTTAAAGGGATCAAACCATACAGAGTCTGATTGGAATGTGCCACCTTTCAAATGGTAGGCTAATGAGATCTTCATTGGGAGCTGAGTTTTGAAGCTTCACATCTCATAAATAGCCTTCTCCCACTGGCATTCGCTGAATTTCACAAAGGAGTCTGTAATAAAATTCCTATTTGACTTTCGCCTGGGGATCAAAGATAAATGTTAAAGCAGAGACAAAGTGTAAATTGTAGGGAAATAGAAAATCCCCAAAGCTTCCACCAGGTTGATTTCTCTGTCCCTCCTTCCTCTCTCTGTGTGGACCCAGCCCTCTGATGCATCAGCAATTCTGCTTCAAAAAGGCCTCTTCATCTCACGCTTCTCCACTCCACTGCCACTGCTGCCCTTTTCAGGGTTCCTAATTGGCCTGTTTGATTGTCCATATAAACCCACCCTTCGCCCAGTTGTCCACTTATTTATTCCTGGTGAGACCCTGTCTGATGTCATTCTTCCCCAAGCACAAGTTTCAACAGCAGCTGTGCAAACTCCCTTACTGGGCATTTAAGGTTTCATGACCGGTCGACCACAAACTCTGGCCAAGCTTATTTCCATTTATCTACCCATCAATCCCAGTCATGCACAAATGTCTTGTCCTCCCCAAACATGCCTGAAGTTTTTGCTCATTCCATGTTCTATTTATACTTGAGCCCCTTTGAATGTTCCCAACTTAAGTCCTAGGCCAGGGTCTAAGACCCAGTAATTCAAGAAGCCTTCCTTGGTCGGATTCTCTCCATCTGAGCAGAAGGAGATGTGCATATTTCTGTTAAACCTCTGCTTTGACATAGATCACATTTAGAGAAGACAACGGGGCACAGTGGTCACCATCAAAGCTTTGGGAGCCAACAGAGTAGCGTAGCAAGCTAAACCTCTGCACCAGCATCTCACATGGGCTCCAGTTCATGTCCTGATTGCTCCACTTCTGATCCAGCTCTGCCTATGGCCTGAGAAAGCAGCAAAGGATGGTCCAGGTTCTTGGGCCCTTGAACCCACATGGGAAATACAGAAGAAGCTCCTGGTTCCTGCCTTCAGATCGGTTCAGCTCTGGCTGTTGCAGCCATGATGGGAGTGAACCAGTGGATATAAGCTCTCTCTCTGTATAATTCTGACTTTCAAATAAAAATGAAGTAAAATCTTTTGTTTCTTTGAAGATTTATTTATTCATTTATTTATTTTTGGAAAATCAGATTTACAGAGAGAAAGGTC